GGTGCAAGTTGGCCCTGTAGTAGAGTTCTGGACACCACAAAATATTCTCCCCACTTTAAGTTGTGTGTGCAAGTTGGCCCTGAAGTAGAGTTCTAGACACCACAAAATATTCTCCCCACTTTAAGTTGTGTGTGCAAGTTGGCCCTGAAGTAGAGTTCTAGACACCACAAAATATTCTCCCCACTTTAAGCTGTGGGTGCGTGATAAGAACGACAGTAAATCTCTTAACGTGGATGTTGGGTGGTAGGTTACTGTTGACTGTTTGCCTTCTCACTGGTCAGTCGTTCCAGATTAAGGACAGAGGCAGCTACCCTTAGTTGCTTTTCCATAAATATTGAATACAAATCCAAACATAAAGATGACTTGTATGGCAATCAGTTTCTTTATTTATTCATTTCCCACTTCTTTTCTTTGGATTTATTTTGTTAATTAAAATACTTCGAATTAAGGTTTATTGATATTTAGTTTATTAACAGTAAGATAAAATGAAATTCATCATATCATAATTATCCCAAGTGATGTTATAATGTCCCCATCAGGTTTTGTTTTTGTGTGTGTGCGATTGTTTGTTTTATAGCGCAAAGCTGAACAATGGATTATCTTCGCTATGTCTACCGCGGTGAATAGAAGCCCTGGATTCTAGCGTTGTAAGTCTGTAAAGTTGTCTCCTATTTGTTGTTTCGTTTGTACGTAATTTATAGCTTTATCTCAAGTCTCGTTCACAAGGTTTATGGTTACGCTGGCTTCTAATGAAAACTAAATATATTCCAAAAGTCATTGATGTTGGTCACGTGTTATCTACTTAAGGTAATTGTATTTGTTACATGCTATCTGCATAAGGTAATAGTATTGGTTACATGCTATCTATTTAAGGTAACATTATTGGTTACATGTTATCTATTTAAGGTAATAGTATTGGTTACATGCTATCTACTTAAGGTACTAGTATTTGTCACATGCTATCTACTTAAGGTAATAGTATTGGTTATATGCTATCTATTTAATGTAACATTGTTGGTTACATGTTATCTATTTAAGGTAATAGTATTTGTTACATGCTATCTGCATAAGGTAATAGTGTTGGTTACATGCTATCTGCATAAGGTAATAGTATTGGTTACATGCTATCTATTTAAGGTAATAGTGTTGGTTACATGCTATCTATTTAAGGTAATAGTGTTGGTTACATGCTATCTACTTAAGGTAACATTGTTGGTTACATGCTATCTATTTGTATTGGTTACATGCAATCTACTTAAGGTAATAGTATTGGTTACATGCTATCTACTTAAGGTACTAGTGCTGGTTACATGCTATCTACTTAAGGTAAGAGTATTGGTTACATGCTATCTACTTAAGGTAATAATGTTGGTTACATGCTATCTACTTAAGGTAATAATGTTGGTTACATGCTATCTATTGAAGGTAATAGTATTGGTTACATGTTATCTACTAAAGGTACTAGTGTTGGTTACATGCTATCTACTTAAGGTAATAGTATTGGTTATATGCTATCTACTTAAAGTAATAGTGTTGGTTACATGTTATCTACTTAAGGTAATAGTATTGGTTACATGCTATCTACTTAAGATAATAGTGTTGGTTACATGCTATCTATTTGTATTGGTCACATGCTATCTATTTAAGGTAATAGTATTGGTTACATGTTATCTATTTAAGGTAATAGTGTTGGTTACATGTTATCTATTTAAGGTAATAGTGTTGGTTACATGCTATCTATTTAAGGTAATAGTATTGGTTACATGTCATCTACTTAGGGTAATAGTATTGGTTACATCCTATCTACTTAAGGTAATAGTGTTGGTTACATGCTATCTATTTAAGGTAATAGTATTGGTTACATGTTATCTACTTAGGGTAATAGTATTGGTTACATGCTATTTACTTAAGGTAATAGTGTTGGTTACATGCTATCTATTTGTATTGGTTACATGCTATCTATTTAAGGTAATAGTGTTGGTTACATGCTATCTACTTAAAGTACTAGTATTTGTCACATGCTATCTACTTAAGGTAATAGTACTGGTTACATGCTATCTACTTAAGGTAATAGTGTTGGTTACATGCTATGTACTTAAGGTAATAGTGTTGGTTACATGCTATATACTTAAGGTAATAGTGTTGGTTACATGCTATCTATTTGTATTGGTTACATGCTATCTATTTAAGGTAATAGTGTTGGTTACATGCTATCTACTTAAGGTAATAGTATTGGTTACATGCTATCTATTTAAGGTAATAGTGTTGGTTACATGCTATTTACTTAAGGTAATAGTGTTGGTTACATGCTATCTATTTGTATTGGTTACATGCTATCTAGTTAAGGTAATAGTATTGGTTACATGTTATCTATTTAAGGTAATAGTGTTGGTTACATGTTATCTATTTAAGGTAATAGTATTGGTTACATGCTATCTACTTAAGGTAATAGTGTTGGTTACATGCTATCTATTTAATGTAACATTGTTGGTTACATGTTATCTATTTAAGGTAATAGTGTTGGTTACATGTTATCTATTTAAGGTAATAGTATTGGTTACATGCTATCTACTTAAGGTAATGGTGTTGGTTACATGCTATCTATTTAATGTAACATTGTTGGTTACATGTTATCTATTTAAGGTAATAGTGTTGGTTACATGTTATCTATTTAAGGTAATAGTATTGGTTACATGCTATCTACTTAAGGTAATAGTGTTGGTTACATGCTATATATTTGTATTGGTTACATGTTATCTATTTAAGGTAATAGTATTTGTTAAAAAATTCCGACAAAGCTAAAACTTCGCTATCTTTTCAGCTGAAAGAAGGGATGTAGATATACAGGGAAGATTACTTTATGGTGTTCTATCTTCTCCAGTATCTTGGTCGTCTGTTGGCTTACGATACTTGTGGTGGGCAGAGCAAATATAACCCACCGTGTTTCTTTGTGCTTAACAATAACTAAAGTTAATCTTGGTCAAAACAGACTGTCCTAGATCTACTAATGACTGGATTTCTTGTCTACATTTATCTAAGCTGTTTACTAGTTTTTAATTCAATAAATTGTATGTTTAAAATCACCTTGGACTAGCTTTGATCATTAGTACTTATTAGATGTTATCCTCAGAACTTTACGTTAGCTAAAGCCGTAATGTATAATAAATGATGTTAATAGTAAATAAATAAAAGTGTAAGGTTTTTTTATTGTTGATCAGGTTCTTGTGTCTTAATCAAATATTTTAAAATAATCTGATAACGGCTTGAAATCACGTGTTCAATCAAGTTCGCGTATTGGTTATAATCTAATAATCTTTATTTTTAAAACTTCTTCTTCAGTAAATATGTTGTTACTTTTAGATCATTGATTAAGTATTTGAGTGACTGAGATTTTCTTATGATATATTGTGAATGAATATTGTATTTGAAGTGTCAAGCTTTTACAGACAAGGATAAAATTAACACACACACACACACAAACATATATATATATATATATATATAATACTAGAATTCATAGTGTAAAATCAAATGAAGAAGAAAGAAGATCAAGTCCACACCTGGAATGGTGAGTCAGAATAGTGTAAAAATGAAGAGAAAGAAGATCAAGTCCACACTTGGAATGGTGAGTCAGAATAGTGTAAAAATGAAGAGAAAGAAGATCAAGTCCACACCTGGAATGGTGAGTCAGAATAGTGTAAAAATGAAGAGAAAAAAAGATCAACTCCACACCTGGAATGGTGAGTCAGAATAGTGTAAAAATGAAGAGAAAAAAGATCAACTCCACGCCTGGAATGGTGAGTCAGAATAGTGTAGAAATGAAGAGAAAAAAGATCAACTCCACACGTGGAATGGTGAGTCAGAATAGTGTAAAAATGAAGAGAAAAAAGATCAACTCCACACCTGAAATGGTGAGTCAGAATAGTGTAAAAATGAAGAGAAAGAAGATCAAATCCACACGTGGAATATTGAGTCAGAATAGTGTAATAATGAAGAGAAAAAAGATCAAGTCCACACCTGGAATGGTGAGTCAGAATAGTGTAAAAATGAAGTGAAAGAAGATCAAGTCGACACCTGAAATGTTGAGTCAGAATAGTGTAAAATGAAGAGAAAGAAGATCAAGTCCACACCTGGAATGGTGAGTCAGAATAGTGTAAAAATGAAGAGAAAGAAGATCAAGTCCGCACCTGAAATGATGAGTCTTGCAGCGTCTTGTACCGATTCTTCAGAGTTCTTCACATAACACTGGTACATTCCGCCATCTTCACGTCTTGTTGGGTTGATACGAACACTGGATTGAGTCGGAAATGTAATCCTCCCGTCCGCCACCAGAGTTCGCTGATCTTTCGACCAACTCACCAAGTGTATCGGATATCCCTGGATTGTGCAGTTTATAATAGCTGGATTTCCGGAGTCAACCTCTTGGTTTTTAGGGTAAATAGATGCTTTTAATGGAGCTAGAAATAGACAGCAACACCAGAAAATAACAAATCTTCATTCAGTTTAATGAAAGATTCTCTATCAAAACAATTTTTAACACGAAAGGTTTGAAGTTATGTTTAATAAAAGTTTTAACACGCAAGGTTTGAAGCTACGTTTAATAAAAGTTTTTAACACCAAATATTTGAAGCTATGTTTGATAAAAGTTTTAACACCAAAGGTTTGAAGCTATGTTTAATAATAGTTTTAACACGACAGGTTTGAAGCTATGTTTAATAATAGTTCTAACACCAAAGGTTTGAAGCTATGTTTAATAAAAGTTTTAACACGATAGGTTTGAAGCTATGTTTGATAAAAGTTTTAACACCAAAGGTTTGAAGATGTGTTTAATTAAAGTTTTAACACAAAATGTTTGAAGCTATGTTTAATAATAGTTTTATCACGACAGGTTTGAAGCTATGTTAATCAACGTTTTAACACGAAATGTTTGAACGTATGTTTAATAATAGTTTTAACACCAAAGGTTTGAAGCTATGTTTAATAATAGTTCTAACACGGAAGGTTTGAAGCTATGTTTAATAACAGTTTTATCACGACAGGTTTGAAGCTATGTTTAATAATAGTTTTATCACGACAGATTTGAAGCTATGTTTAATAATAGTTTTAACACGACAGGTTTGAAGCTATGTTTAATAATAGTTTTAACACGAAATGTTTGAAGCTATGTTTAATAATAGTTTTAACATGGAAGGTTTGAAGCTATGTTTAATAATAGTTTTAACACGACAGGTTTGAAGCTATGTTTAATAATAGTTCTAATACCAAATGTTTGAAGCTATGTTTAATAATAGTTTTAACATGGAAGGTTTGAAGCTATGTTTAATAACAGTTTTATCACGACAGGTTTGAAGCTATGTTTAATAATAGTTTTATCACGACAGGTTTGAAGCTATGTTTAATAATAGTTTTAACACGACAGGTTTGAAGCTATGTTTAATAATAGTTTTATCACGATTAGGTTTGAAGCTATGTTTAATAATAGTTTTAACACCAAAGGTTTGAAGCTATATTTAATAATAGTTTTATCACGACAGGTTTGAAGCTATGTTTAATAATAGTTTTATCACGACAGGTTTGAAGCTATGTTAATCAACGTTTTAACACGACAGGTTTGAAGCTATGTTTAATAAAAGTTTTATTTGTTCTAAATGCAGAAGGAAGTCATTTTACTACTCAGTTCTACTTACCAGTAATGTCCAGTTTAACCTCTCCTCTCTCTTGTCCAGCATCATTACTGACCATACAAAAGTATGTCCCAGCGTCCTCACGGGTCACTTGACGAATAACCAGAGTTCCATCCATTTGGTCAATGCGTTGGTCCTTGTTAACGACGGTCATCCGGCCATTGTCGGAGAAGTACCACGCATAACGAGGTTTAGGAAAGCCATGCGCAAGGCAAGGAAGATGAGCTGTTGATCCCTCTGGACTTCGGATGTTTTTGCTGAAGTGGAGAAGACGTGGAGCTTGACTAGTGTGGGGATCTGTGGGGGGTGTGGAAAGGATGCGTTACCAATCATCCGTATCATACACGTGCCAAATAACTTATTATTTAAGTTTCCGGTTCGAAATAACGCGACATAACGTAATTAGATGACTCGAATAATATGTGGTGATTTTCGATGAAGCTTGTAAGCTTACAACGCTAGATTCCGGGGTTCGATTCCCTGCGGTGGACACAGCAGATAGTCCAATGTGGCTCTGCTCTAAAACAAACAAACCAACGATCAAGTTTGTTCACCAGGGTAACATTTTACATTTATACAAAACATGTTGTTCTTTTTCAACTATCACTTTCCATAAGACAGCAAACCTGAAAAAGAAACCAGAACCTTACGCGATATCAAAGTTATTGGTCTAGCTGTATTTTATACAGTTAGTCTAAAACAAGAAGGGAACGAAGAATAATGTAATTTGGAAGAGTTGTGTTGCTAATGCTGATCCAGATTATAGAAACTTTCGGCACTATGCTTAAAAAAGGTCTGGAGAATTATAACTGTTCTTTTGGAACAAAAATACAAAATTTTCGAAGGGACACGAAAGCAATCCATTAATAGTTCCAAGATGTCAGAAAGGAAAGGGACACTGTCATTGCGTGCGGAATAGTTTTAATCACAAAGTGTAACAAGTTTTTGTAGGAGACTGCACACCTAGAGTAGAGTTAATACTCATATTTTCCCTTAATAACAAGAACTTTTAATAGCCAAGCAAGGGAGTTTTAATCCTTATTTCTATTTTTTTCAAAACGCTGAAAAACGAAGAGCGAACCTGGCGTCATCTGGTGAGAAATTGTGAAACTATTATCTAACGTTATTAAACCATGACGGTACCATTATTAAATCTAATGATCAATATATTAAATCACGAATGTTATGGATATAACTTCTTTTATACATGCCTTTCTTGTTTCCAACAGCTGTGAATCACGATTGGACGATGAAAACATTAAGACCCGATATTATTTAATCGGTCTCAAGATAAATATAGTAATCTCTCTACTTAATTTGTATATTTACATTAATTACTAAACATATAACCCCCAGAAGAAGGTGGTAACCAGAACGTATAGCGACTGGTACCATCTCCGACCAAACCGCTTAACACTTAATGTGAATATATAGAATTGTTTTCAATTATGCCGGGCATGAGTTTATAGGTAAACAGCGCCTAATATTTTCTATAGTTTAATTTTATTACTCAGTATTTCACTAGAAGTAAAACCTGAAGTAGGAACTTCTAATGTTGATACGTCTAGCGAAATTGATGAGTTTCCTGAACAAGTGGCGCGTGTTCTGCACGAACACGTGTTTACGGTAGTGAAACACGCAAGATATAAAGAACTCGATAACTGTCATCTCGGTAAGGAGATCGGTCCCTGCACGTAACGGTGATATGCACCTCATCTGGTGTTACAAGTATAAGTTCCGGTTGTCTTGAGCGTAATAACACGTATAACATTACTACGATAATGATACTAGAAATTTCTCACGAAAGGTATACTATCCTTCATATTTATTTCAACACGAACATATTATAATCTATATTCTAATGTATAAGAAAATATGGGCGCTACGATATAAATAAAGACTCAGATTCTTCTATATCTAATATGAATTAAACTAACCCAGCCCGATGGTCAGGACGCTCGACTCGCAATCTGTGGGCCGAGGATTCGAGCCCCGTCCTTGAATCTGCTCGCTCCTCCAGCCGTGAGGACGTTATAACGTGACGGTCAATCGCACTTTTTGTTGTTAAAAGAATAGCCTAAGTGTGGAGTAACAGCCTTTCTTCTGGTATATTATTTCCAAACTTGGGATGGCTAGCGAGATGGTCTTAGTTTGGGATGGCTAGCGGAGATGGTCTACAGTAGCTTGGTGCGAAATTTAACAAATAAACAAACGAAACTATCCCTGAGTGATATAAGTGTTGTTTGATAATAAACATGTTTAGTTTTTCTGTTCGTAATTAATTCGAATTATAACGATTACAACATACAATAGGTAATTCGTGTTTTTAAACATTGGACTGAACATTTTTAAATCACTGGAAGAAGAACAGGCTGAACAAAGTTAAGTAATTAAATATAACAATAGTCTGAATACTGGAATTAACAAAGCTAAATAATTAAATACAACAATAGCTTGAATACTGGAATTAACAAAGTTAAGTAGTTACATAGAACACTAGTCTGAATACTGGAATTAACAAAGTTAAGTAGTTACATAGAACACTAGTGTGAATACTGGAATTAACAAAGTTAAGTAATTACATAGAACACTAGTGTGAATACTGGAATTAACTAAGTTAAATAATTACATAGAACACTAGCTTGAATACTGGAATTAACAAAGTTAAATAATTACATAGAACAATAGTCTGAATACTGGAATTAACAAAGTTAAGTAATT